TGGCTTTCCCTCGCTCTCCGCCTCTCTATTACCTCTTGTTTTTTTCTTTAGTTTCTTTTCCTCTCATCTCTCGTCTTCATCTTTCTGTATTTCTTTTCCTCGCTTAAACAGTGTTGAAGAGAGACAGCGAGGAACTGTAGCATGTTAATATGGATTCATAAATATTAAAATACAGCGTGCTTGAAGGTACCCAAGACACACGCACACACGCACACATCTTGAGGTTATCTTGAGGTTATCTTGAGATGATTTCGGGGCTTTAGTGTCCCCGCGGCCCGGTCCTCGACCAGGCCTCCAACCCCAGGAAGCAGCCCGTGACAGCTGACTAACACCCAGGTACCTATTTTACTGCTAGGTAACAGGGGCATAGGGTGAAAGAAACTCTGCCCAATGTTACTCGCCGGCGCCTGGGATCGAACCTAGGATCACAAGATCAGAAGTACAGCGCGCTGTCCGCTCGGCCAACCGGCTCCCTCTATATATAAATTTAACAAGACATCCTCATTTTATTCAATACAAAAGTAGTACTTAAGGCACTTACGAAATTGGACGAAATATTAGGTGCAAAATTAGTCTTAATGATTAAATGATATTTTTTTGTTATCTTATCTTGAGGTTATCTTGAGATGATTTCGGGGCTTAGCGTTCCCGCGGCCCGGTCCTCGACTAGGCCTCCTTTTTAGTTACACAACCCCCAGGAAGCAGCCCGTAGCAGCTGTCTAACTCCCAGGCACCTATTTACTGCTAGGTGAACAGGCGGATCAGGGTGAAAGAAACTCTGCCCATTTATTTCCGCCTCCACCGGGGATCGAACCCGGAACCTTAGGACTAAGGATAAGGATTTGGGATGGGACGTGGGGGTGAAGGAATGGGAGCCAACCACTTGTGGACGGTCGGGGGGGATTGAACTCCGACCTGCAGGAAGCCAGGCCGTAGCTCTACCGTTCAGCCCAAGTGGTCGGATGACACTTTTTAGGAGAAAACGTTTAAACGTATTCAATCGCGAGTAATGTTTATGAAACTGTTGCTAAAGACCAGGAGAAGCCTGCCGGCCTCCATCACACCCCCGAGGGTTCGAGCCCACACCCCCACCCCGCATGTCATAACACAACTCATCCTCCTGTTTACATAGTACTTTTTGTAACTATGGGCATCATAGGGGCCTGACGGCTGAGCGGACAGTGATCGGGATTCGTAGTCCTAAGGTTCCGGGTTACGAGAGAGAGAAGTTACGAGAGGCCCGAGTAACGAAGGCTACTTGACACGGTTGACAAGACAAGGCTACTTGACACGGTTGACAAGACAAGGCTACTTGACACGGTTGGCAAGGCAAGGCTACTTGACATGGTTGACTAGGCAACTTGACACGGTTGACAAAGACAACGCTACTTGAGACGCGGTTGACAAGGGAAGGCTACTTGACACGGTTGACAAAGGCAACGCTACTTGACACGGTTGACAAGGCAACGCTACTTGACACGGTTGACAAAGGCAACGCTACTTGACACGGGTGACAAGGCAAGGCTACTTGACACGGTTGACAAGGGAAGGCTACTTGACACGGTTGATAAAGGCAACGCTACTTGACACGGTTGACAAGGCAAGGCTACTTGACACGGTTGACAAGACAAGGGTACTTGACACGGTTGACAAGACAAGGCTACTTGACACGGTTGACAAGGCAAGGCTACTTGACACGGTTGACAAGGCAAGGCTACTTGACACGGTTGACAAAGGCAACGCTACTTGACACGGGTGACAAGGCAAGGCTACTTGACACGGTTGACAAGGGAAGGCTACTTGACACGGTTGATAAAGGCAACGCTACTTGACACGGGTGACAAGGCAAGGCTACTTGACACGGTTGACAAGGGAAGGCTACTTGACACGGTTGACAAAGGCAACGCTACTTGACACGGGTGACAAGGCAAGGCTACTTGACACGGTTGACAAGGGAAGGCTACTTGACACGGTTGACAAAGGCAACGCTACTTGACACGGGTGACAAGGCAAGGCTACTTGACACGGTTGACAAGGGAAGGCTACTTGACACGGTTGACAAAGGCAACGCTACTTGACACGGGTGACAAGGCAAGGCTACTTGACACGGTTGACAAGACAAGTCTACTTGACACGGTTGACAAGACAAGGCTACTTGACACGGTTGACAAGGCAAGGCTACTTGACACGGTTGACAAGGCAAGGCTACTTGACACGGTTGACAAGGCAAGGCTACTTGACACGGTTGACAACGCAAGGCTACTTGACACGGTTGACAAGGCAAGGCTACGTGACACGGTTGACAAGGCAAGGCTACTTGACACGGTTGACAAGGCAAGGCTACTTGACACGGTTGACAAGGCAAGGCTACGTGACACGGTTGACAAGGCAAGGCTACTTGACACGGTTGGCAAGACAAGGCTACTTGACACGGTTGGCAAGGCAAGGCTACTTGACACGGTTGACAAGACAAGGCTACTTGACACGGTTGACAAGGCAAGGCTACTTGACACGGTTGGCAAGGCAAGGCTACTTGACACGGTTGGCAAGGCAAGGCTACTTGACACGGTTGGCAAGGCAAGGCTACTTGACACGGTTGGCAAGGCAAGGCTACTTGACACGGTTGGCAAGGCAAGGCTACTTGACACGGTTGACAAGGCAAGGCTACTTGACACGGTTGGCAAGGCAAGGCTACTTGACACGGTTGGCAAGGCAAGGCTACTTGACACGGTTGACAAGGCAAGGCTACTTAACTTGTCAGGGAAACGAACACGGGGACAAGTGAAAATAAATTCTTTTAACATAAATATTACCAGTAACTTTTAGTGTCAAGAGAAGAATATATACTGAATGGAGTAAGGAGCGGACTGGTTGAGACAGACAGACGCCTTATCTTGAGAGGTTATCTTGAGATGATTTCGGGGCTTTAGTGTCCCCGCGGCCCGGTCCTCGACCAGGCCTCCAACCACAGGAAGCAGCCCGTGACAGCTGACTAACACCCAGGTACCTATTTTTACTGCCAGGTAACAGGGGCATAGGGTGAAAGAAACTCTGCCCATTGTTTCTCGCCGGCGCCCGGGATTGAACCCGGGACCACAGGATCACAAGTCCAGTGTGCTGTCCGCTCGGCCGACCGGCTCCCTACACCTTACACTTAACAACTTACTAAAACACATTCACAAGAACTTGACATATCAATGAGCACGTCATGGTTCAGCCAGTAGTGTGTGCGTGTGTGCCTGGCAAATTCCGGGATGCAGATGGATGTCCTGGGAGCCGGTCGGCCGAGCGGACAGCACGCGGGACTTGTGATCCTGTGGTCCTGGGTTCGATCCCAGGCGCCGGCGAGAAACATTGGGCAGAGTTTCTTTCACCCTATGCCCCTGTTACCTAGCAGTAAATAGGTACCTGGGTGTTAGTCAGCTGTCACGGGCTGCTTCCTGGGGGTGGAGGCCTGGTCGAAGACCGGGCCGCGGGGACACTAAAGCCCCGAAATCATCTCAAGATAATCTCAAGATGCAGGTTCAATCCCATCTCATAACCTTAATTTTGTCTTCATATAACAATACAGTTTAAACTGCAGTAGGTGTGTTGGCCTGTATTATACAGCTTCTATTTATATCCACCCAATTTATTTATTGTTATTAATACATTAGGTACATCTACATTTGTGCAGCTGCCCTAGACTATATGAAGGGGAGTACAGCGTGTGTCAAAAAACTAGGTACGTAATGCTAAAAATCCCCATTACACAGGATGGTTAGCCATAATGAGGCCTGTGTTCCACCCAAACTCATTCATATATATGTCTAACCTACGCTTGAAACAATCCAGCGATCCCCTGTTTATTATGTTAACCGGTAAATAGTCCGTAAATTAACAACCCTATTTACAAACCAGTATTTACACCCTGTTATTTTCTGTATCTAAACTTGAATAAGAACATAAAGAGTACTAATTACAGGTTCTGAGAAGCAATAAGCTGCCTTGAATGTCGAGAGGCGGGACCCAAGAGCTTAAAACTCAGCCGCCTTACGCGTATAATTACCAACAGAACTAAATCAAGAAGCCTGGCGTGGGCGTGTGGCCTGAGTGATGCCCCGTGCCCTGGGTACTCTGGCCGTGCCCTGGGTACTCTGGCCGTGCCCTGGGTACTCTGCCCGTGCCCTGGGTACTCTGCCCGTGCCCTGGGTACTCTGCCCGTGCCCTGGGTACTCTGCCCGTGCCCTGGGTACTCTGCCCGTGCCCTGGGTACTCTGGCCGTGCCCTGGGTACTCTGCCCGTGCCCTGGGTACTCTGCCCGTGCCCTGGGTACTCTGCCCGTGCCCTGGGTACTCTGCCCGTGCCCTGGGTACTCTGCCCGTGCCCTGGGTACTCTGCCCGTGCCCTGGGTACTCTGCCCGTGCCCTGGGTACTCTGGCCGTGCCCTGGGTACTCTGCCCGTGCCCTGGGTACTCTGCCCGTGTCCTGGGTACTCTGGCCGTGCCCTGGGTACTCTGCCCGTGCCCTGGGTACTCTGGCCGTGCCCTGGGTACTCTGCCCGTGCCCTGGGGTACTCTGCCCGTGCCCTGGCTACTCTGCACGTGCCCTGGGTATTCTGCCCGTGCCCTGGGTACTCTGCCCGTGCCCTAGGGACTCTGCCCGTGTCCTGGGTACTCTGCCCGTGCCCTGGCTACTCTGCCCGTGCCCTGGCTACTCTGCACGTGCCCTGGGTACTCTGTCCGTGCCCTGGCCGTGCCCTGGGTACTCTTCTCGTGCCCTGGGTTCTCTACCCGTGCCCTGGGTACTCTGCCCGTGCCCTGGGTACTCTGCCCGTGCCCTGGCCGTGCCCTAGGGTACTCTGGCCTCTCACAACATGCCCAGACCTTCTCTCTCTCTCCGCCAACGTGCCCAATACCCACCTTCCTCCGTAAGACACGACAATTAGTATTTAGCATCTGTGGTGGTCGCGTGTCTGTGGTCAAGAAGAAGCCAGAGTACATTCTGGTGGAGGTCCGTACTGGATATTGTCTGCGTATCTGTGGGTATTGTCTGCGTATCTGTGGGTATTGTCTGCGTATCTGTGGGTATCGTCTGAGTATCTGTGGGTATTGTCTGCGTATCTGTGGGTATTGTCTGCGTATCTGTGGGTATTGTCTGCGTATCTGTGGGTATTGTCTGAGTATCTGTGGGTATTGTCTGCGTATCTGTGGGTATTGTCTGCGTATCTGTGGGTATTGTCTGAGTATCTGTGGGTATTGTCTGCGTATCTGTGGGTATTGTCTGCGTATCTGTGGGTATCGTCTGAGTATCTGTGGGTATCGTCTGAGTATCTGTGGGTATTGTCTGCGTATCTGTGGGTATTGTCTGCGTATCTGTGGGTATTGTCTGCGTATCTGTGGGTATTGTCTGCGTATCTGTGGGTATTGTCTGAGTATCTGTGGGTATTGTCTGCGTATCTGTGGGTATTGCCTGAGTATCTGTTGGGTATTGTCTGCGTATACTGTGGGTATTGTCTGCGTATCTGTGGGCAATGTCTGCGTATCTGTGGGTATTGTCTGCGTATCTGTGGGTATTGTCCTGCGTATCCTTGGGTATTGTCTGCGTATCCGTGGGTATTGTTCTGCGTATCTGTGGGTATTGTCTGCGTATCTGTGGGTATTGTCTGCGTATCTGTGGGTATTGTCTGCGTATCTGTGGGTATTGTCTGCGTATCTGTGGGTATTGTCTGCGTATCTGTGGTTATTGTCTGAGTATCTGTGGGTATTGTCTGCGTATCTGTGGGTATTGTCTGCGTATCTGTGGGTATTGTCTGCGTATCTGTGGTGTTGTCTGCGTATCTGTGGGTATGTCTGCGTATCTGTGGGTAGTGTCTGCGTATCTGTGGTTATTGTCCTGCGTATCTGTGGTTTGGGTCTGCGTATCTGTGGGTATTGTCTGCGTATCTGTGGGTATTGTCTGCGTATCTG